TTGTTGTGGTCTTAATCTTCATTTAAGCAAACAACCACTTAATTGATTACAAGTGACACTGAAGACTTCTTATAATGTCACAAAATAAGTGCAGTTTTTTGAACATTATTTTCCTCAAAGAATCCTGAAAGAAATGTATCATGGTTTCCACCAAAACATTGAGCAGCACAACTGATAATAATAAGAAATGTTTCTTGAGCACAAAATGAGCATATTTGAATGATTTCTGAAGGATCTTGTGACACTAAAGACTGGAGTAATGGCTGCTGAAAATTCTGCATTGCCATCACAGGAATAAATTACATTTTAAAATATATTCAAATAAACAGTTTTTTATTGTAATATTATTACTGTTTAATGTATTTTTTTATTTTGTTGAGCATAAGAGACTTTCTTTAAAAATCCGATCCTAAACTTTTTAATAATGCTTAAATAATTGTGACTTGCCTCTTAGTTTGAGAAAGAAACAAAAAAATTGTTTTGACAGCATACAGTGGAAGTCTATAGGACAGTCGTTGGAAGTTGCCCCATAGACTTCCACTGTAAGTGCATAACTGTTAACTTTTCTTTAAGATCCTTCTAGATCTTGTGTTTAATACAAATGTTAGGTATTCAAGTACTGACGTTGAGTTTGATGAGACTAAATTGTATCCAGTCACGTTTGAATCGGTACAAGCTATCAAAACAAGCTGCAGGTTTGAGCAGACTGTATTCATTCCTGAAGCTGGATGTAGATGATGTTTTTACAGTCATGCGGAGTCATTGATTAATAAACACAGAGATTATCTGACGGTTCTCCTGGCGATCTTAAAAACTGCATTAAGTTGTGGAGTACAATGGCACTAATGTGCACTATGATGGTCCTTGTGTGCAGTTTTGGGTTGAGTCTATCTGACAGCTTTGGGTCCAGCCTGAGCACATTATTTAACAAGCACGTCGACATCTGGGAAGCAATTCATCATTTAATTAAATGCTGCTGAAACCTGGCCTTTCGTTAATGAGATTAATTTAAATAATTAACGAAAAGCTGACACAAGCACAAGAACTCATGAATAATTAAGCAGCATTTTTTCTGCTGCAATCAGAGGGGAAGGGAGCACTTTAATGCTAGAGTGCTTTTTTATATAAAGTTTCAGCTCATTTCTTAAGATGATACACACACACTCCAATGCGCACGTATAGAAACTTGTTTGTGTGTGTAAACACTCTGGTAGCTGTACAAAGATACATGAATCAATGAGCCAGTGGAAGAGAAAGACAGCTTCACTCACGAAGTTGCACACAAGATCATACACACACACACACACACATACACACTCATTCAAAGCTGCGAAGGTGTGTCTATCTATAGGGCTTGGCCTGGTGTCCTATTTCCCTCTGACCCCTTTCCCCTGGTGATATATACCATTCAAATCTCATACACCAGGTTGACATGCAAACGGAGCAGTCCAACATATGGGCTGCTGCTGTAACTGGTCATTTTAGTGGATCTGACTAATCAAAAACATATTTGTTCCAGGACGCTGCTGTATGACTGACTATGACTGTATTTTTATATTTTGCTGACTGACAGTTTTAAACCGATACTAGCATCTAATGGAGGCAATGTACAGTAGCATCATGTTAAAATTTGCATTTACTAATGACATTGCAGAACTGCATTTGTATTCAGTCGTTTTTCATTCATTTTAATATGTTAACTGAAAATATTCACTAACAGGAGGTCGCTGACATAAAGCTAGTAGTATTTGGCTGGTCATGTCAACATGTCTTTTGTTTACAACTTAAATTATTATTATTGTTTTTTTTTTTGTTTTTTTACAATGAAAAATTATTTTACTGATATACTGGTATAACTTGGATACTCTTATGTGAGTGTTTTACACATTATTTTGTATGTAAAAGAATTAATAAGGAACCATTACTAAGATATAAAATAATGTGTAAGAGATTCAGCAATTTTTGTGGATGGATATATATATATATATATTATAGAGAGAAAGAGAAAATTTTATTGCATGCACTACCATGTTACATTTTGAGAGTATTTACATAAATGATTTAAAATCTTGCTGGCATGAATTTATTAGTTTCTAATTGAGAACAAGGAGGTTGAATGGACTGGTCCAGAGGAACAGGTTTCGTATGTGTGTTTCTGTGTGTGCTTGTTCTAATTTTAGTTTCTATTTCTTATTTTCAGTGTCCGCAGGGAGTTTGAATGTTCTCAGGAAATATAACAGAATACACTACTGTCACCTGATCGGAATACCCTGAAAAACATGCATGTTGTGTGTGTGTGTGTGTGTGTTTGTGTGCATTACATACAGCTCTTTGCCCTGTCACACATTCTCTGTTCTTTTCTGTTTCCTTTTTCTTCTTCTCTCTTCCTCTCTCTGTTGCCTTCCCCTACCTTTAGAGAAGAGCGTTTCAGGGAGGGGACACATCAGATAATCTTACACCTCCCAGGGGCATATGCTGAAATGTGTGTGTGTGCGTGTGTGTGTGTGTGTTGGTGGGCGGAGGGGTGGGGGGGGGCACAGGTAACAATGTATTTTACATGAAAGGAAGAGTATAAAGTTACAGCGCTGATAACCATAATACTGAAAGCACAAAAAAGAACAAGAAAAGGGGGATTGTTTTCTGTGTGTTGGTGTGTGTGTGTGTCTGTGTGTGTGTGAAGCCTCTGTACCTGTAAGCAGGCCTGGATTCTGCATATAGAACTAAGCAGAAACGCCCTTGCATGATTGTTTATTAAACCTTTTGGCTACATTTATGACTGAAAACAATTTGGTGTGGAAACAATTTTCACTCAGAAATTGCTTAATTTCACAAGTAATTATAAACAGTTATCTATCTATCTATCTATCTATCTATCTATCTTTTGTGGTAGGGCCATTGAAAATGTTGTCAGTGTAAAGTAAAAATGAGCTGGTCAAGAGAAAAATCTTTTTATTGTTGAGGCCAGTAAGACCAGCTTAAACCAGTCAAGACCCAAAAAAAAACAGCTTAGGCATGCTTTTTTCAGCAGGGTAACCATTGGTAGTTGCTTTTCGAACCGCCTGCCAAAGAATTACTAATTTCACTTCATAAATCTATAAACGGTGTACAGTTAAACAGTCTTAGATCATTGTTCACCAGCAGGCCTCATTAGGAGCTGGATCCTGCTGGGCTGCTCTCAAACGGTCTATTAACTGCTCTAAGAGCACAGATGCTGCTGGACAAGGAAGTACTTACAGTCAGAGAGAGATTCACAGTAGGCTTCGATCACCTGCTGTCCCTGAATGTGTCAGGCTAATTTGAGGAGACCATAATGGGTGTGTTCGTACTCCGCACAAATCAGAACACAGAACCAGAGAGATGAGCCTAAATTGCAGGTACTTTTCTGAGAGGAGCCTTAATGTCCCAAGGTCATCTGTTGAATCTCATTTGTACGGCGTATACGCTGTCAGTATGATTTTTAATTTTTTTAAAAGAAAGTTTACTTTTATATAGCAAGAATGCATTAAATTGATCAAAAGTGACAATATTTCATCATGAAAACAAATATTTAATCATGAAAAAAATCATGAAAAAAGCATTATAGTTTCCACCAAAATATTAAGCTGTTTTCAACATTGATGATAATAAAAATTGTTTCTTGAGCAGCAAATCCTATATTAAAAGGATTTCTGTACGATCATGTGACACTGTAGACTGGAGTCATGGCTGCTGAATAATCAGCTTTACCATCACATGAATAAATTGCATTTTATATTCAATATATTCAAATAGAAAACCGTTATTTTAAAATAATGATATTTCACAGTATTACTGTTTTACTGTATTTTTGATCAAATAAATGCAGCCTTGGTGAGCATGAGAGACTTCTTTCAAAAACATTGAAACATCTTATTGACCCCAAAGTTATCAATGGCAGTGTATGTGTGTGTGAACATGAGTTGCTGGTTGCACACTCCAAACATTCTCCCCAAAAGCACACGCTACATCTGACACACACATGTATATGTGCATGTGTGCTCACAGGTCTGCATGTGTGTTTTCAATTAAGACCCAGATGACTACGAGCAGTTTTGGGAGGGCTGAACCATGTAAATTGATTGCGAGAAGTTTATAGACTTGTAGCACTCTTTGATCCTTCCTTTTGTTTTACAGTACTTTGTGTTTAAATATTCATATACATATTCAAATGTAACGTGAATTTAAGTTTCTGTATGAATGTAAAATAATGCACTGTTTTGGCTGGAGACCTTGACAGTAAGAAAGAAAGAAAGAAACTGAGTAGATTTGGAGAGAGTTGATCACAAGGACAAATTCAAAGAGGAAAGTTGCAGTCATGGTTTTATTAACTCAGTATTGAGTAATATTGAGCATGACAGAGAGTAAGAACCAAGATAAACTGGTAGAATGGGAAAGAATGTATTTTGTGTGTGTGTGTAGGAGAGCGAGAGAGAGAGAGAGAGAAATTTTTGTTATGTAAATGAAACTAATGTGCCGAATATCGTACATTCACATTAGTATTTCGGATTAACAACAATATATATTTGTAGTTGTGGTTTTCATCATCCTTTCAAATATGCATTTTAAAATGTAATTTATTCCTTTGTTGGTAAAGCTTTTCAGCAGCTATTACTCCAGTCACCAGAAATAATTTTAACATGCTGATTTAGTGCTCAAAATAATTTCTTATTATCAGTGTTGAAAACAGTCATCAGTCACACTGCTTGATATTTTTGTGGAAACCGTATGTATATTGTGGTAGTGTATATTGTGATTTTTCCATTCTACAACTTGTTTTCTGTTATTTATATTCTCTTCATTCAGTGGACAGCATCTGCAGTGGAGCAAATAATCATGCTCAAATGGCAACAGTAGCTTCAAAAATCATGGACAGTGAGGTCATCACATTGAGTCAAGTAGCTGAAAGACTGGGAGCGCAATGTTTTCTTCATACACTGAATGAGAAACTAATATATCAACTGTCTCTTCTGGTCTTTCCACAGGTGAAGAAATCTACCACTGATTCCCATGCTCCAGACCCAGTAGACAACAGGTAAAGTGAACACACATTCACACACATATTCTCCACTGGAATCCATTTAGGGTATTATTTATGAGTGCCAATGACAGTGGACGGTGGGAGTGTGTAATTTTGTAAGAGGGATGTTAACATCATTGTGTGTGAGTGGGTGTAAAGCAGACAGCTTCACCTGGATAAAACGTGTGTTAGAGCACTGTGTACTTTGAGATGCATTCAGAAATTTCATGCAGATGTTTATGCTATAAACAGAGAGCAACAAGGAGCAATTCTGTTTCTATTTGGCATTACATTATTATACGAGCTGTCTTTATGCATTTGTCCTTTGGATTAAAGTGTAGTTCAGGGATAGATAGATAGATAGATAGATAGATACATGGAATATTTGTACTTGAAAATAATAATTTGACACACTTCAGGAATTAAAATGGTAAAAAAAGAAAACATGCACACTCAAACATATGTTGGTCATGTAATGTATACATTTATACATAACAATATTGCATATAAACAATATTTCATTAGCATTAGCAAATAATAATATTTCTTACTGCATGCAATAGTATTTAGTGTAGTTTTATAAAAAATAAATAATTTGATCCTCATAACATTGAGAATATTAGGCAGTTTTTGATTCATATTAGCGTTAAACAATGCAGGCTGTTTAACGTAATAACATGAAGATACATTGTGATTTTGTTCCTCATATTTTCATGTGGATGACTTAGTGTGAAGAATGGAAGAAAAGAAAGCTAGATCCTTGGTAAACATGACCTAGATATTCTAAATGCATTTTAATAGCCTGAATCATGCAGTGAAAGAAAACACACTAAATGCGCACACGCACTAGTCTAGATTTCGCGTAATGTATGCGTGCGCTCTGTTAGGGATGTTTTGAATGGTTTTTGCAAAATACTCGATAATGTCAAATCGCACATCGTTAAAACAACAATTACGATATTATCGCAGACGATATATATCGCACACCCCTAAGATAAACTGCTTTCCAGCTTTTTGAGGTAAAAACTCTTAGAAGATGCACAAGTTGGGACAGATGTTTTCTTTAGCAGATGGTTTGACACATGAGCGGGTGTCATATTATCATTCTTACAGTGCCAAAGCCAGTTTTTGCTCACATTTTCTGGTTTGTGAGTGTTACGGCCATTTTGGGGTCAGTAAGATTTTTTATTTTTTTTAAATAAATTAATACTTTTATTTAACAAGGATGCATTAAAGATTCAGCTTTTCCATTACAGAAATAAATTGCATTTTAAAATATATTAAAAGAGAAAACGGCAAAAAATTTAAATTGTATTAATATTCCACAATATTACTGTTTTTACTTTGTTTCTGATCAAATAAATGCAGCATTGATGAGCATAAGAGACTGTTTTCAAAAATATTAAGAATTCTTACCAACCCCCAACTTTTGAATGGTAGTGTAAATGTATTAAACCGCTATATTTGTCGTCACAGGGCCTTGGAGATGCAGGATCTAACAGACCCCCAGCACTCTGTTAACAGTGGCAGTGACAGCACGTCCAAACTGGACAAAAACATCCTCAGCAACAACATCACAACCAATGGAACCGGAGGTATGAAAGAATGACAAATCAAAGAGCAAGCAAGCAAGAAATTGAGAGTGTACATGAGTGAGCAAGCAACATATTAGGTGATAAATAGGGCCTTCCAACCAAAGCATACAGGAAATCAGCTTTAGCGCAGTACACTCCATGTTCTTCGCTGTGGAGTTTCTTGCTGTAATTGAAAGCAGGGTGTATGATCCTGGTGTATGATCATACATCCTGGTGTATGATGTTCGGATTGCAAGGATAAAGTGTTTCTTGTTCTGGTGGTTTTGGTGCCGTCCAGAGCGGGTTTGGTGGATTAGTGGCAATGCCGTGTGCCGAGATGCTCCGAGCTCACACTAACCTCAAAGGTCAAACGCTGCATACAAGCCTAATTAAAACGGAAGAAAGCGTGTATGTATACAAGCGTCTTTGTGCTGAAACGTTTCCCAGCACTTCTCCGTGCGTGTTTCAGCAAGAGCCTGGTGCACAGAAAACTATTTCCTGCGTTTAAACTCTCATTTTCTCTCTGATGTCAACACACGCTCGCTCGCTTTTCTCTCCTTGAGGAAAACGCTGAACAAACGTTTTAAGAGAGAACGTTAGGCAAACATACACATGGCTAAATAGACTCTCAACACCCTAGCAAGCGAGTGTTTGATGTATGGCAATGACTGTGTGGCACACAAGAGAGGTAAAGTTTAGGGACCCTGGAGAGTGTGTGTGTGTTGTGTGTGTGTGAGCTCATCTGTTTTTGACATATAGCCGGAATAAAACAATAGCAGAAGACTGAGAGAGTAAAAGGAGCAGAACTCAGTAAATCATTTAGATTAGAGCTCAGCTAATGATTTTAACAGCTTGACATACACACACATATTCACACACACACTGGGATTGTGCTTCTGCCAAAACAACGAAATATTCAACATTCTCCTCTGTCTACCTCATCAGCTCACAGCCTAGACCGAATCCCTCTATGCACACACACACGCAAGCCGCCCACACAACCACCAACCCACACACACACATATCCCAACATGAATCCCACTGCCAATGAAGCCTCATTCATCTTACTTTAGAGGACTTTCGCTCTTTTCCTCACAAACACACACTGATTCAAGATGTTTTTTCTTTTCTGAAAATGCGCCTTTGACAGAGCTGTCATAAACTCAGTGTGGCAAAATATGGTTTTGGAAACCTAATATGATTTATATGAAGTCATTTTTTATTATGAGAACACCAGAAACGATGGCTGTACTATTGGTAAATGTTTGTTTTAATGAAAGTGAATTTCATTATAATGGAATTCTATAGGAATTTATCAACTTTTCACTAATGATTGTATTCTTTACTATTTGTAAAATGTTATCAGTTACTATACAAGAACTTTCTATAAAATATGGAATGGGGAATTTTTAAATTTTACAGTGGCCACAAAATGTATTATCTGGACACTTAAGTCACACTTAAATGTATTAATTTAATTGCATTAGATAACAAAATATCATCTATCAAAGTGAGATTTGTAAACCACTTATGCTGTTTTCTCAGAACTAATGTCTTTTTCTGAACCATTTCATCTGCAATTTGTTTTAACCAACTTGTCCCAAAGTCATTTTTAGTTAATATAAGAAATCACTGGATAGGTTTCCCAACAGAGTAACCAAAGGTGTAGTTCATCACATTAACTAACATTTTTTACAAACGTTTGATAACAATAAGTATCCAAGCACTTTTTGTCTTCATTTTGTACACTTTAGCTATCATTGTTTTATCATTTAAATGCCATATAGTTTTGCTTGAAAAGTGTGGAAAATATTTTAAATATTTATTTTAAAATGATTTTATAGTAATGTGATATATTAATATAAATTATAATTTATATATAAATATAAATGATATTATTTTAAATTGGAAATATTTATGTATTTATTTATTTATTTTAATATAAAAAGTCTATATAATAAATACAATACAATAAATACAATCTAGTGACATTTTGTGTTTTTGAGTGTGATGTAAGTGTCCATATAATTTTGGGTTTAACTGTATGTGCTAAATTCATAATATTAAAGAATGAATGGGTAATACAGTCCACTATACATCTGACTCCGCCCCCAGGAGAGAACATGACAATTCTAAACACGGCTGATTGGCTGCTGGGCTGCAGTACCCCGCCCACTGCCCCAAGTATGAAGAACGATGGTATACTGCATGTGTTTGTGGAGTGTACATATATGATAGCACGTGTGTGAGTGTTTGGGTGCAGTGCTTTGGAGGCTTTGCTTCACTACTTTCAGAGTTTGTTTGATTTTGAGAGGTTTGATAGGAATTTGACAGCTGACAGGGTGCCTTATATCTTTCTTGGTCTCTCTCTTTAAGTTAAGTCTGAGCCTCTGAACAGCAGTGAATCTGTGAGCTCGGCGGGAGACACTGGGTTGGACACTTACACTGGGTCAGGTAAGACATCCACACACACACACACACACACACATGCGCTGCATTCAGAATGCCTGTTGTAAGCCCGCTTGGGAACTTGCTGAAAGCTCTGAGCCCTCAATCTTTGTACTGCCCTTGAGCGAACGTCATCAGAGCCACAGACTCTTTATTTAGATCAATGTGCTCACACACAAACACACACACACACACACACACACACTCAGAGACTGAGA